CGGGCTGGGGATTCGAACCCGCCACCCCAGGTGTACGTGGCTGGCGCCCTAGCCCGTTGAGCCACAGGCGCCGAGCCTACAAATTCTTAATGACTGGAGTTATCCCACTCTTAATGTGGTATACCCACCTCTACTCAAGGTCTCCCCTGCCAGGCAGATCATCATGTGTTAAACAGCAGGATCACAGATATACTGGTGGTTCTTGCTCTGCTTTCTCTTTTTCCTATCCTCCATCTAGGTTGTCCATCCCCTCCCCATAACTTCTGATAGAATACAATTCTTTAGATACCCTTTTCTGAATTAAAAACTATTTTGTTTTTATGTTGTTAGACTGACTAGTTAACAGTGCTGGATCTGATTTTGCCGAATTTGCCTAAATCCAATTTTACAACAATTTCTTATGATACCAATATCACTTAATTCTTTGAAATCATCTACCAACAATCACATTGTGTTTGTATTAAAAAATTATCAAATAGGATGGTGCCTGTGGCTCAGTGGGTGGGGCGCTGGCCCCATATACCAAGAGTGGCAGGTTCAGGCCTGGCCCCAGCCAAAAGGCAACAAAAAAATAGCCAGGCATTGTGGCGGGTGCCGGTAGTCCCAGCTACTCGGGAGACTGAGGCAAGAGAATCGCCTAAGCCCAGTAGTTGGAGGTTGCTGTGAGCTGTGTGACACCATGACACTCTACAGAGGGTGATAAAGTGAGAGAGACTCTGTCTCTACAAAAAAAAAAAATTATCATATAATCTATCAGCTGAATGACAGCCTGATTAGGCCTTTTGAAAATGTTGCTGAGAATAAAGATTGGGACTTACATTAAAAACGTTCAAGAAACTCACGTCTTCAACAAATTGTCCCCTTATGAAATTCTAGAGGCTCCCCCTCTCACACCAGAGTGATGCACTATAGTAAAGTTAAGTAAAATAAGTAAAAATTAAGAAGGGATAGATGACAGGTATGTCTTTCTTTATAAAGGAGGAAAAGAGCAATTGCAAAAGAGGAGATGACAAAAGAGAAACTTGTAGGCCATTAGCCCATTCTCAAGCAGAGCAGTCACAGGCAAGGATACAAACTGAAGTCAAGGATCTAGAAATTGACTTCTAATTTATAGGCTAACAGATGTTATAGAAAGCATGTGACATACTTGTTTGAAGACTACTGCACTGTGGGTAGAAATACAATGCAGGCAGACATTCCAGAGGACTCATGAGGGAATGCTCCCACCAGCAGCCTATGGTGGTGAGGAGGGGTCAGAATGTTTGCCAGAATAGACAGAAAACTAGTTTGGGGACATCTGAGTAAAATTCAGCACTTTAGCAGAGACAATATATTAGCAGAGTTAGAAGGGGATTAAAAATTACCCTAGGTGGCACCCATAGCTCATTGGGTACTCCACATACATGGAGGCTGGCAGGTTCGTACCAGGCCTGGGCCAGCTAAAATAATGACAACTGCAACAACAACAACAACAACAAATAGCCAGGTGTTGTGGTGGGCGCCTGTAGTCCCAGCTACTTGGGAGGCTGAGGCAAGAGAATGGCCTAAGCCCAAGAGTTTAAGGTTGCTGTGAGCTATGACACCACGGCAGTCTACTGAGGGTGACACAGTAAGACTCTGTCTCAAAATAATATATATA